AACTCAATGATTATCTTAATTATATTTTAGATTTTTTATATTTAAAATGGATGTTTATTATGTATTTTGTTATGTTTATCTCCAGTTAGTTACACAAATTTAAAATGGGAAAAAAAAAATCAACCATGCATACCCGACCTGTTAATTGATCAAACAATGAATCAACCAAGAATTAGGTCATGAAATAAAGAGAAACTTACCCGAGATGATTGAGGTTTTAGCCACTTGTTTGAAGTAATTGACAGACCCGAAACCAGGCTGCGTCTGAAGCAATATATATATGCATCTCTAAATTCTATTGTAGTCAATATCATCTCAATCGATATCATCTCAGAATATTTAGGGATTAAATCGAATTTGTATTCTTGAAAATCAGTTGGCGATGATATCATTTAGGGAGGGCGATGAAATCGTTTAGGGTTTATGAAATCGAACCCGTATTCTTCAAAATCTGTTGGCGATGAAATCGTTTAGGGATGAAATCGTTTAGGAATTGGGTTTCTGTTGGCGATGAAATAAGATAGGGAGTCAATCAAATAGAGATGAACGGATTTAGAGATTGCTTTAATAATTTTTAAGAATTTTAGCCAAATATTTATAAAACAGTATAGATTAATTTCGTATTATGTTCTCATTACTAATATCCAAAAAAAACTGTATGACAGACAAGGTTGCAAGCGGTGACCAGTTTTAAGAGAACAAGCGTCCTTGAATAATTGATGGTCTCATGCCACGCCCCCACAAACCCTGCCGTCTCTTTATTCTGCTCTATTTTAATATAATTATTATTTTTAAACAATTTATATAAAAAAGAAATGTAAAATCTGAAATTATAATGTAGGACGCGTCCCATCGGTAGTAACTGGACACGTTTCCTGTTACTTATTTCAAGGACAATATATTTATTCAATTTGAACATCAAACCACTCAACAAATCATCTTCCTTTTGGATGCAATCTTCGATTTCCTTATTCTTTTTCAAGTTGCATTTAACATAAATAAATTCATACATCCTCCTTATTTTTAGTAAAATTTGAACCTTCGATTTTTTTAAAAACCAAAGACTATGATATATTATAATGTTTTAATCTTCAGTATTATTTTTAAGGCTTATATGTCCTATAAAAACAAGTTGGTCTTACTTACCCAATCATATTAAACATGAATGTGTTATTTATCATGGATCATATATTTATTATAAAGATAGACGCATTATTCATCATGAATCATACATTTACTAGTTGTGTACTCGCGCAATACGGCGGGAGCAATGAATTTTAACGATTTTGAAGTTTCATTGATTTTATAAGATAAGATTTAATGATGATATATATTACACTTGTTCTTTACATATTAATACAATTTGAATAAATAAGAGTTATGGTTCAAATTACAGACTATCGATGAAAAAAATTGTATGACAATTTTAAAATCCAATATATTTAAACGACTCCACAAATGTGTTCGATTTACACCAAAAGCAAATAACCAAGAAACTTGAGTTTTAAGATAAACACTCAAAACCAATAAAGAAAACTACAAATTTGACAGATCATAAGCCATGAAAAAACCAAAAAAGATGGGTTTTAGAATGAAATTTCAACTGCTTACCCTCTTTCTTGTCCAGAAACTCAGATTAAGATTGAATTAATACATGTATATATATATATATATATATATATATTTTAAAAAAACCCCAAGAACATATTAATTCAGAATATATTATATAGTGCAATTTGGACAGCCTAACCCCAAAATATAATGTATATATATAAATAAATAACTATAAAAGTATAAACCATAAATATTAAAAATATTTTTTCACAATATATATAATATATAATAATATAATTACGTCAAAAACTATTCAATATTAGACTCATTTCGAAGGTATTAACGAGACGATTATAATGGTGTAACTTGTTAAAATAAAAATATATTTTTTAAACATGTTTTAATTGATATACGATTATGTATATTAATTTGATAAATGTTTAAAATGAAACATATAAAAGTAAAAGACGTAAAATAAATTAATTAACTAATTATAGAGATATAAAATGTAAATTTAAAATTATAATTTAAAAAAATGAGTTGTGAGAGGGTGAGTGTATGTGAGGAGAGGAAATGGTGAAAAAGTGAAAAAGTAATATAAAATGTATCTTGGTCATTTAGTATTTTAAGACTTTAATACTTTTATTGAATTTGCTTTATAAGATAGTATAGATAAACAATATGTTACAACATTGAGTTAATAACGAATTAATAATGTGATGCTTTTTATAAATATAATCTTTAGTTCGATTTTTTATTATAATATAATTTGAGTTGATAACAAATTAATTTATTTTAGGTTTAATAATATTAATGTTTGTTATAAAGATAATAATTAAGTATTCCGTTAGAAGTTAATGATTATCTTAATTATGTTTTAGATTCTTTACATTTAAAATAAGATATTTATTTTGTATTTAAGTATGTTTATTAGTTAGTTATATGGGTTCAAACATGTAATTTTAAAAAGTTGTATTCATGCATCTATTTATAATCTTGAATTTTAAGTAATATGCATTATTAAATAGTACTTGATGTATTAAAAATGATTTTTAACAGTTCTATGCAAATGCTTTATAACATAATAAGAAAGATACTCACGCAATGTAGCGAGATACATCTCGATTTTAATGTTTTATTTTATTTTTAGTCTTTACCGATATAACGATTTTATATTGTTTTGAGAATATAATAATGTTTTTATTTTGAATAAAATATAAATTTGAAGATAAAAATTTGAAAAAAATTATATCAATATTAGTATTAAATTAACTATTTTAAAGTTTATTGTCTTTTTGTAATCTCTTTAATTCAATTTTTATTATAATTTAGTTTAAGTTTTTTTAATGAAAATAATTTATTTTTTGTTTAATAATTATTTTTTATAAATATAATAATTAAATATTTTGTTAGAACTCAATAATCTTCATAATTATATTTTAGATTTTTTATATTTAAAATGAGATATTTATCATGTATTTGATTATGTTTATATGCAGTTAGTTACACGAATTTAAACATATAACTTTAATAAGTAGTACATACACTTACACACAATACTTGTAGTTTTGAATTTTAAGTAATATCTACCAATAAACAGCTTCATGCATAAAAAATAATTTTTACGAGTTTTTGTCAAATATTTTATAATATAATATAGTTAAATGAGAAGCATTTTCATTGTCTTATTGGTTTTTATCCAATAAAAAAACCACAAGACCAAAATTATAAAAATTGATTTTGATTAGTTAAAGACAAAAAAAGATATATGGAAAAAATAAAAATACCCTTTATTTAACGAAATATGTTAACGATCGTTAACCAAATTTTAGCCTAATATATACTATATTATAAGGCATTTGACAAAAACTCTTAAAAAACACTTTTATGCATAAAATACTGTTTATTAATGCATGTTACTTAAAACTCAATATTACAAGTAGATTGTACGTATGCACAACTTATTAAAGTTTCATATCTGAATTCGTATAACTAACTGCAGATAAACAAAATCAAATACAAGATAAACATCTCATTTTAAACATAAAAAATCTAAAATATAATTAGAATAATAATTGGGTTATAACATAATACTTAATTGTTATTTTTATAAAATGTTATATCATTAAACCGAAAATAAATTATTTCATTATTAAACTTAAATTAAATTATAATTAAAAAATAAATTAAAGAAATTACATAAAAAAATGAGATCTTTTAAGTAGTTGATTTGCTATTAAAATTTATATTTTATTCAAAAATAAAATCATTATTGTTTTCTTAAAAACACATAAAATCATATTACAACATCAATAAAGACAAAAAATAAAATAGAACATTAAAATCAAAACGTATCGTGCTGCATTATGCAAGTATCATTTTAATTTAAATTATAATTACCATTTTATAATTTTAAAATTATAAAAATAAAAAATATTATTTTCATACCAAATTTATATTTAGCCAATCCTCATCCTAATCGGGATGGTGGACCAAGTGTGGTGGCCTTTGTTTGCAGCCTTTGATTTTGGATATGAGAAACAGCCAAACCATATTAAATAAACCGGCATACGTTTGACAAAAATAATAATTAATATATATAGCATTTAATAATTTCTTTAATTAGAAATTTTGTTTTTAAGAGCAAATAAACATTACAAATATATCAGAGCTTGTTTATTATGAACAACATTTTATATTTAAAAATAATTGAGATTAAATCAAATGAACAATTGAAATTAATTTATATGATTTATACTAATGATTTAACTTACAAATGAAATCACTTATTTATTTTATATTAATTTTTTTTGTTAAAACTTAAATGATTCTATTAAATTATACAACACATGAACATTCAAAAACAACGTTTATTAGTTTTACAAATAAAAACAATTCGCTAAAGACATAGTCTGATAAAATTATAAAAATATGCAATTATGCCATTAATTAATCAGATATTTTACAGATAAAATCATACTTAAAGTTAATTAAGTATGAAAAGTATAGAAGTTTCAAGATCATACATAATTATATATGATAAATACAACACAAATAACTTAGACCAAATTTTGTAGGTCTACCGATGAACACAATATGCGTTATAGATCTTCTCATGGCCAATATTATATTACTTTTAAGAAGGTGTTTGAGATTGCTTATTTGAAACAACTTATATTTTTCTACAAAAATATTTATCAACTTATTATAAGTCAGAAGAGTTTAACTTCTTCAAAAACTTCTTATTACCGGTTTGACACCGATATAAATTATTTATCAAAACACATATTTATTACCGGTATTACACCGGAATAAGTGTTTTATAAGCAATCCTAAACACCCCTAAAAATAATAAATATTTAATACCGAGTAAATTTGGGTAATTAGTATTTAAAAAAAAAGAGAGAAAAAGGAAACCGCAAGTTGAAGCACATGGGATTGAAGGAAGGGTTGTCCATGGCCTTACGGTTCCCAATCCCTACCAATACCATCACCCTCCTCACACCTTCTCTTTCAGAGCCTCCCATTTCCATACCAATTTCATCTCCTCAAAACCCTCCTCCAGATTCCTCTCAAAATTCAAACCCACTTTATTACATATTAGCAAATACATGACCCTAATCTCTACTGGTTCGTCGTTTTTCTCTTTGATTTTCCCTTTCTTGTTCGATTAAGCTTTGATTCCTCTTGTTTTTTTTCCCTTTTCGTCAATCTGTCTATACGCGTTTACTATTAGCTGCTATTCAAACAAGTGACCAATTGGAAACTATTGTTTATTTCTGGTTTGATCGTCTTACGACTGTTCGTTGTTACAAGTTTGAGTTTAATCTTAAGTCTCATACGTTTCAAAGCTAGGTTTTTAATGTGGATGATTGGGTTTTCTTTTTGAAAAGTTGTTCTGAATCGTCCGATTGGAGTGCTTTTTTATGTTTTGAGTAACCTTATACGCCTAAACAAGCAAATTTGAATCTCTTTCACTTCTTTTTAACAGTTGTTGTCATCTCCATTGGTTTGTCGACTTGAATGAAGAAGCTAAAGCTTGGATTACCTAACATGGATTTGGAGATTGTGTTTCATGTGTCTGGATTTTGTAATACTCATAGCTGCAGGTTGGAAGTGGATGATTGTAAATTGAAACAAGTTAAACTATGAGATTTCTTTTGTTGCAATGCTAAAAGATTTCTTTGGGTACCAATTAATTACTTCTTTTTGGATTATCATGTGGATAAATGTAATGCTTATTGTTAAACTGTACCATGTGTTCTTTCTTTCATATGCTGTATGGGAGTAGGGAGTAAATTGAACTGACTTTGCATTGAAAATAACTCCAGGTTTTGGGCTTGATATTGTGGAATAAACAATGGACTTCGGATCTCATTCCTCATACCAGTTGCAAGGAATTGTTGATTGTGTTACCTGTGCTATTTGGACTTTTGGCTTAGGCTTGGAAATACCTGCAGTTTCTTTTGAAGGAGCTGTTGCAAAGATTGGAATGCTTAGAACTGATAGATAGTGGACAGGTTTCCATAGGCATGAAAATCAGCTAGGCTGCTATGTTATATTTATATGATATGTGAGCCTTAGATCTTGTTAGTGGTGTTGTTGATGCAAGTAGTTAATTTGGATTGTCTGTTCAATAGACATTAAGGATACCTCTATACCAGTGGTTAACTGAGTAGGAGTGTGTTGTAGTAAATAAGATAGTAGATTAAAGCTTTTCACAAGTTTTTTAAGGAAAAAGAAATCGTAGTCATGGGCTTACCTCAGGTCTCCTCTAGCAAAATTGCTGAGGAAGTAACAGCATCATTTGGCACTTCAGTTCAATCTCCTCCTCACTTCCATGGGGTAAGCAACTGTGACATGAGTGGAATGCATGCCAATCGTGTGCAAGTCGAGCGATCAAGAGAGGCAGACATCTCTAGTTTACACAGAGATGGACATGTAAATTGGCAAAAACTTGGTTCCACGGATAAGATTTCAACGTTCACCCGTAAAGCTGGACGAAATGTCCAAACTGCCGTTTCCAGAATAGTGGGCTTTGAATCGAAGTCATCAAGTTCTCCTGGGCTGGCATTTGATGAAATGCAGACTGATAGTGTTCCTTCTAGCGTGAGTAGTGGCACTGATGATGTAATGGAGAACAGTGGAGCCCTAGTGAGGAAAAGGTTACTGTCACCCTTGAATAGCTTGATTCCTCCAAGTCAATTTGATAGCGAGCCTCTACAAATTGGTGGGACTAAGTATCAGAATGGCTCTCCGGAGGGCTCTGATAAGCATCTTGTTGCTGCTTTTCAAGAGCATATGAATAGTAGCATAGAGATTCCGAAGTGTATGACTCCTTTTCTATTGTCGCCCTCTAGTTACCAACAATGCAGGAATACAGGAAGTGTAATCTTTGGGAGAAACTCTGGTTTTTTCACTGATGGCCCTTTGCTTGAGAACACAGATCTTCAATCTTTTGGTTCTTTCTCATCTTCACCAGGAGTAGATGGCATAGAATTCACAACAAAGTCTTCTAATTCACCGATAGCTATACCTTCAAGAAGAATGGTATCATCTCCTCTGTCTTTGTCCCCACTTGGTCCAAAATTCTCTAGAACATCAAAACCTTCTGGTGGGTGCATGGCTATGACCAATGACTTAGATGATAACCATCTAACATTGAAGGAGATGGAGTTGTCTCTTGATGGGACCATCTCTGATATTCTATCCTTTCAGGGAGGAGAAGACTCTAGAATGGCTAGAAAATTAACTTTTGAAGCTGAGCAGGTACAAAGGTTTGAGCAGAATACCCCAGAGAGTATGATTGAATTGATGGGAGACTGGGGTCAAGATTCAACCCTTGGGACCCAATGCTCCAAGTTATGTAGGACTCCTAGTGGACTGCAAGTGAGAAGGTCCTGGATTGGTTCGTTTGAGGAGTCCTTGTTATCTGGTCGTTTAGCTTCTGGGACGGTCAGCCAGGTCCGTGATTTCTTTTGTACTTGAGTTGTTAATGCGTTATCTGGAATACATGATTTTGAAGTAAGCTTTCCTTGTGATTCTAATTCCATTTGGTACTGTTGAATGCTCAGAAAATTGACGGATTTCTTGCTGTTCTGAACATTACTGGTGGAAGTTTTTCACCACACCCCCAGAAACTTCCATTTGCAGTAACCAGCGTGGATGGGGATAACTTCTTACTGTACTACTCATCAATAGACCTCGCTGGCCACTTACCCTCAAATAAACATAGGAGTCATAAAATGAGGAGGAGCCTTAGCATTGATGACCCACAAGCAGAAAAAAGTCGATTACGGGTACCTATGAAAGGTCGCATACAGCTGGTATGTTGTGCACCAGAGGCTTTGATTTTTTCCCCTCGTTTTATCAGCTTCTGTCAAAAGTTGTTAACCTGTGCTTAGTTATGCAATTATGCTTTTGATGTATAAGTTAGTGTTGGCCGACTTTTCTGTCACTACAAGGCTTTTGCAAAGACTACATTTCAAATTGAATACAAGTTTGCCTTGATGTTGAACTAAAAGCTAAACTAATTGAAATAAGAAGGAAGAGAAGTGCATGTCTGCTTTGAGCTATATTACTGGCCTATATGTCAATATAGGCTTGTTGAAATCCATTTACAAGCAAACTATCTATCTGATCATTAAATTTTTCGTTTTATACATCAAATTTTGTGCAACAAGACACTATGTGAATTGTATGAATTTTTTAAATCAGAATGGAACTTCAACTTGGGCTTCTGGTATTGTAGTGTACTCTAAGGGGCGTTTGGTTTGATGGAATGGTTTTGAGGGATTTGGATTTCATGGAAGGATTTGGATTTGGAAAGATTTGGAATCTTTGGTGTGTTTGGTTTGTAGGATTTGAAATGGAATTGAATTCCACGTTTTATAAATAATTTATAAAAACAAATTATAAATAACTATAAAAAATTTAAATAAAACAAGTGTTTTCAACATATTTTAAAACATTATTACACACAAATCCTACGAAATCCCACTAATAGGATTTCAAAATCCTGTGTTTGTGGGATTTCAAATCCAGGAAATCATTTAAACCAAACATGGGATTGGAATGGAATTGAATTCCAAATCCTATCCAATCCTACAACCAAACGGAACCTAAGTAAAATTCTAAATATGTCTTGAATTTATGAGTTGACGGATGACGCGGTCCATCCAACGTATGTTTGAGCAGCCTGTTAAACTTGAAAAGGAGATGTCTTCAAGGACACAGGTACGGGCCAGTTAGCCCAAAGTTTTGTGATCTCTCTATCTTCTTTTGTATGGAAGTTTTTCTTACTTCACCTCTTTATCTTCTTTTGTATACTTTCGCCACCCTTTTCGTACTCATCTTAGGAATAGTGAATTTCTTCTGCTCCTGCTGTGGATGTAGATGACATCAGTTGGACCACTTAAGTCTCGCCATTCTTGTGTTTGATCTTTATCTATTTTCATTATCCATTACTTGCTATTGATGTTTGCTACAACATAAAGCATGTACATTAGCATTCTATCTGTATAACCTTCGACTTCCATAAGATAATATCAGTAGATATGTTGGATGAGAAATGGATCACAGGTAAACTAGTAAATGCATAATGCAGACAAAACATAATATTTAACTGTAGTCTATAAGAATGATAAATATATTCATGAACGATTATTTAAATGATGATAAAGCCAACCATCTTCATGTTTGAACTGGGAAAGTCTATTGGAGGGGACTTATAGATTCTCTGTATCTTATGTTCAATACACTTGATATATGTACATAATAGAATGAAAGATGGTCTTCCGTGGTAGAGTAGGAAAGTTCACTTATCATGAGAGTGATCATACGTGTTTAAATGACGGTGTGCAGTAGCCGTCTGTCTCCTAGAGTGCCTAAAAATCATCCATACATGTTAGGATTTTTTATTCTCGGGAACATAAATTTATTGTTAATTTAGTAGTGGACAAGTGAGGATGTTTTACATTTTTTTTGCCTAATTGGTTTCTGCAGGTCCTCAGCAATCCTGAAAAGACTCCAATTCATACTTTCTTTTGTAACTATGACTTGAGCGACATGCCAGCCGGGACCAAGGTAGGTCAAACCTACGAAAGGTTAATATTTTGCTTGAATCTTTGGAACTCTTTTATAGGTGCATGATAGGTATTAAAAGTGATGATGTTTTTCATTTATCGATCCATCTCTTTTGTTCTGTAGTATTTGTTTCTGTCATAAGAAATTAAAATACGATATACCAGGATCAATTTGTGTATGGGGGTATAGATGTTGGTGTGTTATTGATCTATTGAGCATGAAAGTTGCAGAGCAAGAAAATCTTAGTTAGATAGAACAAGGAGACCGCTTTTGGCTACTTGAATGGGGTTCGTTGATGGTTTATGAGTTGCTTTAAAACTATTGGTTCACGGAAACAGCTGCTTTACTCTTTGGAGTGGAAGCCAGGTTTGCATACATCTCCCCTCCCCAGGTGGGGTGGGGAGCCCACTTTCAGATGGGATATACTGAGCTTGTTTGGTTTGGATTATTTAATTACAAGTGTAGATAGATCAAGTTTCACATGGAAGCTAAATATCTATGGCTATCCAACATACAGACATTTCTGCGCCAGAAGGTTACTCTAGCTTCTTCAACACCAGCTTCTAAAACAGGGAGCGGTAATAAATCTGGCAAATCAAGTGAAACTATAGAGGGAGTGAAGACAGACGGTGCTGAATGTGGTCCAACTAAGACTGTGCAGAGCTCACCAAAAGCGAATGAGAACTTAAATAATTCTGGGGTCCTGCGTTATGCTCTCCATCTTCGTTTCCTTTGCCCATTTCCGAAGAAAAATTCAAGGATGGTACAGCGGTGCAAATCAGACCCTTCTTCTGTACCGGAAAAGAACAGCAAAAGCATCGGAGGAGAAAGGCGGTTTTACTTGTACAATGACATGAGGGTTGTGTTTCCTCAACGTCATTCCGATGCCGATGAAGGCAAGGTATGTGTTACCTCATATCTAGTTTCTCAAAATTTATCATATTTAGCCTTTTCGCTTTCTAGTTTTATTGCTGTTGTTTACTCTTGCGTAGCTTCTCGTTTTTGAGCACATCTATTTTTCGCACCTTTCACTACCCGGGGATCGTAGCTGCTTTACACTTTAGGGTAGAGGCCAGGTCTGCTTATCCCCATACCTCACCTACGGGTGGGATATACTAGACTCGCTTGATTTGCTTACTTTTTCTATGTTCGAGTATGGCGTGTGTGTAAATAATGGAGCATAACTGAATGCAAATTGTTGGTTTTGAAACTGCAGTTACATGCAGAGTGTCATTATCCGTCGGATCCCAAATACTTTGATATCAGCGAGTAAAAAAGGTCTGATTTCGATCTCGATTTCGATTACGATTACGATTACGATTACGATTACATCCTTTCTTCTGTGCATATTTATAAATAAAAAGTACAATTAGTGATCGTTTTCTGGTGATGGATCAATACCCCCCACATCAGTGTTGTATAGATTTTCATTTAGAAGTTAGAATTTGGGAGCAGATGTAAATTATTTGTACATTCCTTGAACAAAATAAATCTATAACCTTTTCTTTTAATTCTTGCATTTGGGCTTATGCAATTACAAAATATATTTTCATTGTAATTCCTTTTTTATTTCGCTTTTCCTCTCAAATATATTAACTCATTATACCAGGTTTATTTGCCACCTCATCGTCCATGTAGCTGTTCAAATGTACGATAGTATTGACATGACATTTCTTATTATAACATTGTACTTTCAAAATTACTTTATTATAATATCATTAATTTCTATTATAATATTGTGTTTTTAATTTTAATATTTTTATCATTTAAACATTGTAAATTTAATCAAATATGTTTAATAAAAATTATAATAAATCTGGTATTTTGAAAGTACGTTGCTGGAATAAGATGGACAGTCTACGTGGACGATGAGGTGACAAAGAAACCTGGTATAATGGGTAAATTTAATTAAAAAGGTTGCCCAATGCTATAACGAATAAATTTTTTAAAGTACGATGCCTTGATAAAAAATATTTTGAAAATACATTGCTCTAATAAGAAAAACTGAAAGTTAAATATTATAATAAGAAAATTTATAAAATATTATAATTAAGAAAATTAAAATAAAGTTGATAGATGAAATAAGAAAGTTTATAGGTGAAATAATGATTTTTATTTAAAATTCGTTATTGTTTTATTTCGAAATGGTAAGTGAATGATAGAATTAAGAAATGAGATATCAATTTAAGAAAAAACAAAAATATCCTGGTTAGTAAATTTGTACTAATTAGGCAATTGACAAAGAACGCACACACACTTATATAGGTGGTTTATTTGCAACATATGCCATTTGTATAACCAATGCAATTTCGTCTTAACCATCAGTTAGTTCATCTATGATCAACATTTAATAAGATGGAAAAGGTAGTTATAGATTATCAAGTAGAAAAAAAATTGAAAATAAAATAAAATGGAAGATTTAAATCAAGGTTGTATATATGATGGATTGTATTTGACATATGCTCTCTCTCTCTCTCTCTCTCTCTCTATATATATATATATATATATATAGGGTTGGGTGTACGTGAGATCTGCGAGACCACTTTTTTACACTTGAAACTTCACAGCAAAACGCTGTGAAGGTAAAGAAAAAGCCAAACCTTCACAGGAAAACACTGTGAAGGTTACCTTCACAATGTTCAAGTGTAAAACGTGGTCTCACGTGATCCCAAGTATATATATATATATATATATATATATATATATATATATATATATAGAAGAGCGATCAAATGAAAACCACTCCAATTT